TATATATATAATTTATTATAAATTTTAATTTTATGTAATAAATATTAGACTAAAATATTAGTAATATAAAATAATTTAAAATATTTTTTTAATTCTTATAATTTCACTTTGTTTACCTTTTAGTTCGTATAATTAAAATAGACATTTTTAGTTCATCTATTTATCTTTTTCAATCCTTTTTAGTTCTTATAATCTAAAATAAATCTTTTTAATTTCTATACTTACAATTTTTTTTAATCTTTTTAATCCTTATCATTATTTTTTTAATGTTATATATTTTGTGTTAACATTATTTTTAAGCCTAATTTGAAGTAACTTCAACAAAGTAAATTTAATATTATATACATAAAGTTGAATTAGTATCTTACGTAACATAAAAGAACATAAAAGAGACAACTTACAAAACAAATCAAGAATAAGTACTAAAAAGATTTTTAAAAAACTGTAAATATAAAGATTAGAAAGATTTGTCTTAAATTATAAAAACTAAAAGTGATTAACAATATAATATACGAACTGAAAAAGTCTAACTTAAACTATAAAAAATAAAAGGTAAAATAAGTAAAATTAAAAAAAATTTAAAAAAATATTTTAACCTATTAAATACAAAGGAAACAAGTTCAATATCAAGTTCTATCCGGTAGAAACGAAGAGACTTCACTATATGTGTTATCCTTATATATTGGAAAATTCGGATAAATATCGGACAACAATCAAATATATAATCATTTTTATCAAATTATAATTATTAAGATAACTTTAATTTAAAAAAAATAGTGTAGCTTTTAGGGCAAGAGTATTTCAGAGTAAATAAATGAATAACTTATTTTAAGTTTGTTTTTAAAATTTCATATACAGATTTCCTAAAATTAATATCAAATAATTTGTTTATGTTATTAAGCTAATATCATCATTTCTACGAACTTAACTGCAAAAATAATATAATCAGTAAAATTTAATTAAAAATATAATTAAAATATAATTACACAAATTATTATAATTATTAAAACAAATCTTGTAAAATTTTTCAAACAATGAATACTTATTGAATTTGTTTATATAATCATAGGAAAACCAATAAAAGCCTCAAAAATTGTTGAATATGTGTGCATATTTATAATTAATTTATGAGAAATTCTATGGTACCCATCTTATTTCTAATTTATTTGTAATAATATTATTATATATTTAAATAGTTTAATTTTAATGATTTTTAAGTATAATTTTATCTTTTCACTTAAAATTTTTGAATTTCTATATTTTAGTTTTAATAATTTTTTAAGTATATTTTTTGTCTTTTTATCTTAAATTTTTGAATTTCTATATTATAATTTTTTATTTCTACTATTTATTAATTTTTTTCTTTTTTAATATTTTATAATATTATTGAAATCTTATAATTTTAATCTCTATAATTTTATCTTACTTTTTATTTTATAAGTATAATTTGAATTATTCATTTTATAATTAAATTAATTTTTTTAAAATTTTTTATGAGTTTACATAGAAAAATGTATTGAAACCCTTCAATTTTTGAGGGTACCGTAGCAAAAATTGTTGAATATGTGTGCATATTTATAATTAATTTATTTATCAGACATAAAAGTTGTCCCTTTTTTCTCATCATACATGAAAAAGGTCAAAATAAAAAGCACTAACTGTATAGAGAACAAGAGGGACAGTTTTTTATGCAATGCACTTTTGCTCTGCTATATGCTCTTTCAACTTGAAAAATTCACTACGAATATATCTCCAAGATATTGAAAAGCTCCTCACACTACTTTACATTCATATCATGTTCCTTTATGACCATGAAAACCAAGGTTTCCAAGTATGCAAATGAAACAAAAGGAGCAATAAAACCAATGATCACTTTCCCATCATGGATTGTCTTGAGAGTTCAAGGAAAACAAGGCACAATTTTTAAAGTTGATGACTCTATATTGGATAGTGAATCATCTCCAAAGTCCAAACCAATTTGAAAATCTTGTGTCACCATAGCTACTGATTCAAAGCTCTTTCTATCTGAGCCCATAAAACCATACAATCCAATAATCAGATGAGAACCATGGACTATGTAAGATAATAGGAATCTATATTGAGGAAAAAAGAGATACTATTGCTGATTCATTTACCTTAAAGAAAAGAAGTAAACCTCATTGTTTCCTGGCCTATTTATGCACCAAAACGTTGTTTGATGATCCTGCAATAAATGCAGAAGAAAACTTCAAGTTCTAATATCAATTAGATGAGTTGAATGTGTCGACCCAAATAGAATTCAAGGAATCTTTAGTCGCTGTAAAATATACTATTATAAGAACTAAGATGTCACAATACAAATTGTTGGGATACAAACAAGTCCCACATCGATAAAATAACATAACAAATAACAACTTATATAATACAAACATACTTCAATGATTGAGAGGTCTTTTGGGTGATGACCAAAAACAAAACCGTGAGGGCTAAGTCCCAAAGCAGACAATATCACATCATTGTGAAGTATGTTTGTATAATAACCTTATAAAAATAATGCATAAAATATCCTCTCAGACAAATACCACAAAATAACCCCATCACAAATTTATGAGGGTCTCACATACTGTATATCTACATGCCAGAAACTTGGTATTCATTCTGGAACATTCGAAAATAGAAAAATACACAATATGCTAATGACGCTTAAGAAAATTAAGCAAGAAAAGTTGAGAGAAGACTGGGAAAGAAACCCAACCCACGTTATAGGAAGCCGTGTATAGAGCAAGACTAAGGTCATTATGCTTAGTATGATTTCTCAATGCCTTTGGGTCTAAGATTAGTCTAAAATTACTCCAAAATAAAACAAAACATATAACCAATAGAAAACTTACTTTGCAAAAACGCTATAGAAAAAAGGTATTAATGTATTATGAGGAAGTAAAATTCAATAAAATATATAATAAGTTGGAACTGGAAAGAAAGAAGGAAGAGTGCAGGCAAGAAAACAAATATGCCCAACAAGTTTAAGGAAGATGAAACCACCATAACTACCAATGACAGAGTACTGTTTACGGAGTGAATGAAAATAAAAATTCACCATTTTTGTATTGTCCTAATTATATATAAGCAACACATTTGATTGGAATTCAACTTCAAAAATGGATATGATAATAGAAATTCTTGCATGTAAAATAGAATATTAAAAAAACTGATGCATGAAGAAAGTGACTTAGCCATCCTCCTTTAACAAAAAATAATAATAATAATAATAATCAATTTAGTTGTAACTTGTGTTTTTGTTTAGTAAATGCTAACTAGAGAGTGAAATACTTCGAATAAACATTCAAAAGTTGCAAATATATTGTGGAGAATAGGTACCTGATGAAAAAAGACGGACACATGAAAATTGGTGCATGTGTAATTTTGAAATTTGTGGTTCATCACTTCATCTTATTGATTTAATCACCAAACATGACATTTTTAATGTTGGCAATTTTTTCCCAGTCTTCACCTCCTTGTTTCTGGCAACGTTGTTGGAGCAACGGACAACCCCAAATTTTGAGAGTTGAAATGGATTTAGGCAGACCCTCTTTTGGTAAGCATTGGAGGTTGGGGCAGTAAACAAGAATCAATTCCTCGAGAGAGGAGAGGTGGCATAGACCCTTGTAGTCCAATTTTCTAAGATCTGGGCAACTATAAATATTTAGAGAAGTAAGTGAGAGTGGTATCAAACCTTCTTCAGGAAAAGACTCCACGTCCACTTCTCCAATAGACAAGGCTTGTAAAGAGGTGTTGGCTCCCAAAGTCCCTTTTAGTGAGGCAACAAGTTTGGAGCAATTTGAGAGATTCATCTCTTTTAGATTTGATGGCAAACCTTCATTAGATAACAACTCCACTCGAGGACAATCTTTTATGAGTAGCTCCTTAAGAAATGGAAGGAGGATATCCATGCGTTTAGGCAATGATTTCAGATTCTCCAATCTTTTAATACGAAAGCTCTCTAGCCAAGCTGCGTATAATCCTTCAATAGGAAATGATTCAAATTGAGAACACTCACTAATGCTCAGATCCTTGAGATAATTATGAGTGTGATCATGTGAAATCGTTTGTAGATTATGACACCTGAGATCAAGCACAGAGAGTTTTGGGAAGAAATCTAGTGGAAAGGTTGTTAAAGAGTCGCAGCTACAATCGATCTCCAATGTTTCAAGGAAATAGTAGCAGGAACTCATAGGAATATTCACCTTGGGGCAAAGATAAGTGCGTAAATGACAAATTTCTAGAGCCTTGGGGAAAGAAGCCATAAGTAGTTCACAATTAGAAATATCTAGCATCTTTAAACAAAGAAGTTGCTCTGGCAGACACCCTTTTAGCTTGGGACATTGCACTATTGAAAGATATTGAAGATGTGGAAAAACATGTGTCACACCTTTACATTCCCATTCTTCCCATTCATTCATATCAGAGAACACCAATGTTTCCAAGGATGTGAATGATGAAGAGCTGCTTCCATAAAATTCAGCATCAATACACACTATCCCATCAAGCCCTATAATTGTCAAGTGCTTGAGAGACGGCAAAAGCCCAAGGGGAGGCAAACATGAGCAATATTTACAGTCTTCCAACCTTAAGGACACCACATTTGGTAATGAATTATCGAACAACCATCTTGGAAATTTTGTCCCACCATATTTCTTGATTGACAAATTCTTCAAGTGTTTGGAAGGTTGTAGATTATCAAATACATCTCTTTCTTTCTTTGAATCATTAGGGTTCCAATTCCATTCTAACTCTAGCTCCACAAGGTTTGTTTTATTTTTCAAATCCACTGCTAATGCATCTAAGGGATTCACAATATTTTGCAGCCCCTCAACTGATAACCTTCCATGAAGATTGAGCCCTCTTAATTGTTGAATATTGAACTCACTACTTTTGCCAACATAAAACGAACTCATTGATACTTGAAGATTCTTCAATTTTCCCATTTGCCTTGGCAACATTTTCACTTCAGTATCAGTAAATTCAAGGTGACTCAAATTGGTGAGTTTATGCAAATTTGAGGGCAGCTCCTCCAAATATCTACATTGGTTCAACTTCAGTATTTGCAAATTATAGAGCAAACATGTTGAATTAGGCAGTTTTTTTATGTTAGTACGGGAAAGGTCCAACGAAACAAGATGTTTAAGATCTCCAATAGAGTCAGGCACATGTGTAAGTTCAGAACAACCACACAAAGACAAAACACGTAAGAACTTAAACTTGGAGAACAATTCATGTATCGGCATCTTGCAATGCCATGGATAAAAAGGATCCATTCCCTCAGTAATTGGCATAAATGTACGTAACCTTTTAGCATCATATGAATTTTCAAACCCATCAAAATAGTGAAGGTGATTGATTACAAATGAAAAATGACGAGTTGTTTTTGGTATACTTTTTGCTTTATCAACTCCCAACCTGAAATAGATGTCTCCACAAACATATTTTGCCAAATCATTTAGAAGGTCATGCATGACAAAACATGTTCCATATCCACTTGATTGTTGAAAGAAGGATCTAGAATATAAATCATTGAAGTACTGTTCACCAATTTCTTTTGGATTCATACTTTGCTGAGAGCATTGTAAAAAATTTTCTGCCATCCACAACAAAATTAAATGCACCTTGTCAAACTCATAATCTTTAGGGAATAAGGCACAATAAGCAAAGCATCTTTTAAGATGAGAAGGAAGGTGGTGATAGCTCAACAATAAAGCAGGGATTATTTCACTATCTTCTAAATCCCATATCTCGCTTGTTAATACACTTTCCCATTCTGAAACAGATGATTTTGTGTATAAAAGACTTCCAATCGTTTTCAAGGCTAGAGGTAATCCTTTGCACTTTTCAACTATCTTTATACTAATCTCCTTCAGCTCACCATTCAACTGAGGATTGTCATCCTGAAAAGCATGTTTAGCAAAAACTTTCCAGCAATGATCATCTTGTAATCGTTGCAGGTGAAGTTCTTTATTTGATCGCATGGTAGAAGCAACTTTCATAGTGCGTGTGGTGACAAGAATTCTGCTTCCAGGAGCCCCATATTTAAGAGGAGTTTGCACAGCTTCCCACCTTTCTCGTTTTTCATTCCAAACATCATCCAAAACAAGAAGAAATCTCTTCCCTATCAATTTTTCTTTCAATCTCTGATGAACCATTTCTAGGCCTCTACTATTATCAACTGAATCAGTGATTGCCTCAAGAATTGATCTTGTTACCATCAAAACATCAAAATCATCTGAAACACAAACCCAAGCTTTGATATCAAATTTATCCTCTATCATTGGGTCATTATACACATGTTGGGCAAGCGTGGTCTTACCCACCCCTCCCATGCCCACAATAGAAAGTATTGATAGCTGGTTATGATTGTTAGCCCCAGATGTAAGCCAATCAAAGATGATTTCTTTATCATCATCTCTGCCATAAATAACACTTTCAACCACCAAAGATGTTGATGGCAATTTCTGGAACACTTTACTACCTAATCCTAATTCAACCCCAACACCACCACCACTAACCTCTTTCAAACCTAGATAACCCTTTTGGCTTGCATAAAATTCTAGGTCATCAAGGACTTGTTTCATCCTTGATTCAATTTCCATGTCTAAGTTGCATACCTGGCTTCCACTGGTTTGAGATTCAGCTTCTAGTTTGCATTTGGTGAGTTCATAGTCAATTTCATCCAAGAGATCCTCTGCTTCAAAGATGACATCTTTGACAGCACCAAGCCATGCTCTCACACGTGGATCTCTGACCTGCTTTTGTTCTGCATCATCAGCCAGAGCATCGATGGACAGCAACATCATATTCAATTTCCTCAACAGCTTCTCATCCAGTTTTCTTCCACCAAAATAGTCAAAAACTTGACGAGAAGCGAGCCTGTCAAATGCAACCTGAAGGATAGAAGAAAGAAGAGCACCACCAAGTGTTTCTACCACTGGCATGGTTGGAAAAGGGATGAGTGAACTGAATAGAAATCAGTAATCTAAAGTGCAGCTTATGCCGTTCGTATACAGATAAAATGAGTGGTTATGAGCTATTATGTGAACTATGACTTTTGAGTTCTGACATTGACCACTCAACCAACAACTGTATGAATATGATTCTGCTGAGTGAACAATACTGTAACAGAAGGAATAAATAAATCACTTGTGAATCTGAATTATAGCAATTCTGAAACTAAATTCATTTATGGGCATCATAATCATAATATCCTACTGCTTAACAATTCTCTCACTTGATAAGATTTCTGATCTGCTTTTCCTAATCAAATTAATTTGATGTATTAACATCATCCTTGCTTTATCTGCTTAATTCACTATAATAAAATAAGAGTTAATCACCTTTTACATTGTCAGTGTAAAATCTTTTACACTGGCAGTCAATCAGAATCGTTAACAGTGTCTTTATTTTAATTTAATTAAATAAATAGATGAAAATATACTATTAACGGCTTTGATTGACTGTCAGTGTAAAAAAACTTTACACGAGTGGATAGGTGATTATCTATAAAGTTTAGTTGACTTAGTCATAAGTGGCCATGTTTTATGAATTATGCGCAGGACCCACAGCAGAAAAGGCTAATTATTTTTTCTTTCTTTCTTCAAGTTTACCTACTTATTTAGGAACATAAGTGTTTGAAATGCTAATTGGATTATCATAGATGACGTTATTTGCTTATCTTTGGGCTGAGCAAGATTTGAAACATGTTTAGAAATTGTATGCTCTCTCTGTATGATGATCACTCCTATTTTATTGTTAGTAGTTAGTTCATCAATATTAATAACAATTTACTTACATTACATGCAGTTTTTGGTTATAAACCACGTTGTTTTGCCAATTGGAGTTGTTGCATTAGCTAACAACATACACAAGTTGTATGCCTCTTCTTCAAATCAAAGTTCTTGCTAGCTTTGTGGTTAGGTTTTTTTTTTTCTCCTGTATAGACCCTGTTTTGTAATGAAGATAATTGAGAATAAAATTTAAAATTTTCTTATTACACTTGACAAATAGGTATTTTATACACTATTTTTTGAGACACGTGTATAATAAAGAATTTTTAGCAATATTTAAAAAATGTTATCTAATTGTTCATAATTATTGTTTATTTATTTTTGCAACATATTAATAAATGTTATATATAGTATATGTTGCTAAAGACTTTTAAAGATATTTTTATATAATTAGATAATATTTTTTAAATATTATTAAAGTGATATTTTATAATATTTTAATGATGTTGTTAAAAAAATTAATTTTATAAAATAATAATTAGTTTTAATATAGATATCAATTATATTTTATGGTTTTTAGTCACTTAAAAGTTCTAAGTTAAGATTGAAAATATTCTTAATTAGTTATTCCTAATTATATATCAAGTATCAAAATTCATTTATCTTAAGTATAACTATATGATTATATATACTTTTTATGTGAAATTCATTTACTTGATATGAAACTTTAATTATGAAAAATAATTAGAGACGAGAGAAATATACTCTTTATGTGACATTTTTTTATTCAACGTAAGACTTTGATTTTGGAAATAATTACAAAGAATAATATTAAGATAAAAAAAAATATGACTGATTCAGTAGCCCAGAACGGGCCGTTCTCAAACTGGAACGGGCCGTTCCAAACTATTGAATTGACTTGTAAATCGTAGTTGAGAACGGGCCGTTCTGGTTGGAGAATGAGCCGTTCTAGAAGGGAGTACGGGCCGTTCTGGATGAGTTCCAGAACGGGCCGTTCTGATTTTAGAACGGGCCGTTCTAGAAGGGAGTACGGACGGCCATTCTGGATGAGTTCCAGAACGGGCCGTTCTGATTTTAGAACGGGCCGTTCTGATTTTAGAACGGGCCGTTCTGCATGTGGTTTTTTGCACATGACGAAGGGATACAGAACGGGCCATTCCGGATTCGGTACAGGCTGTTCTGGCCACTCCGGAATGTTTATAAATAGGGGTTGTGGGCCGTGAGGAGAATGTGAGTTTTTAAAGAGAAGTTTTAGAGAGAACGTTTATGGGTCTGTGAGCTCCTTTCTCTCCTAAATTTCTCTGTATGATTCCTTTTCTCCTCTAGACCACTAATGCCTTCTGTCTTTCCTTGAAATTCAGATTAGGAAGCTTACTTTGGGAGGATTGAAGTTACGGGTTGAGCTTCAGAAGGGAATTCTACTTCTTCTCAGTTATTGGCTATTTTGAGTCAATCTTCAGGCGAGGGAAGCTAGAATGTTTATTGTTTAGGTTGCATGTGAGTTTAGAAACTCAATTGATGCATGAATGTTGAGAATCCATAGATGGATTGAAGAAAATCTCATTTTGGGGGTTTTGAGAAAAATGAGGATTTTTGATGATTTTGATGCCTAGGTTGCATGCATGTGAGATTTAAGTTTATTTTGAGTTGTATGGAGCCTATGCATTGTGTTTTGTGTTTGCATGTGGCTGGATTTGTTGGTTTGGATGAGAGTTTTGAAACTCTCTGACTAGGTTTAGGCTAGGCGCAGGTTGAGCGCGTCAATTAATTATACAAGAAGAACAACAAGTGAAATAGACACAATTGGGGAAAACCCTTCATATATGAGCATATAACAAACATAGGATTGGGGGTCAATCCCACTACCCAATATACATTATCACACCCAGAGCGACAAGGGATGAGACGACCCTTGCGTAAGTGATGCTACAGGAATAGCGTGCCCTGGAAAAGTGTGAGATGAGTGAGATAATTAATACGTATCACTTATATCAGATGTGGTGTGGCCTTGGCATAGGGTTGATTGTAAGATTTGTGTGGATTGTGAATGTGATTGTGGTTCCTCACACATATGACTAGGGATAAGATGACCCTTGGGTAAGTGATGCTATAAGGACGGCGTGCCCCTGACATTGTGTGGGATGAGTGAGGCAATTAACCCGTATCACTTATGTCAGTTGTGGTGTGGCCCTGACATAATGTTAATTGTAAGATTTGTGATGATTATGATTGTGATGTGATTGCGGTTCCTCACACATATGACCAGGGATGAGATGACCCTAGGTAAATGATGCTACAGGGATGACGTGCCCCTGGCATAGTGTGGGATGAGTGAGGCAATTAATACGTATCACTTATGTCTAGAGTGGCATGACCCTGAGGTGGCGTGACCATTGACATAGTGTTAATTGCAAGATTTGTGATAGATTGGTGTGATTGTGAAATTGTGATGTGAATATGATGCATGATTGATAGAATTAAAATGTATGGATATGCTTGTAAAGACTTCATTAATTGATGAGTTATGATAAGATTATGTTGTGTTTTTCCTTGTATTATTTACATATAGATGTTTTCTTTTCTCACCGTACAATTTGTGGATGTTTTAGGTGAGAAAGATCCGGCTATGAGTGGTATCTAGAATGCCAATAGTTGAATTATGAGTATGCTCTGATATTATGACATCGGAGAAGATGATTTCTAGGACATGAATTTTATTTGTATATGGAGTTGTACTTATTATTTTGAAAACATTTTGTAACCTCTTAAGTTTTATTTTGCAAGTTTCGTTTTCAAAATATTTTGGATATTGAAGAATGTTTCTAAAGGTTTTATGTGAACCCTTTTATCGATGTTAAAAAATTTATTTCCTTAGTTTATTTACATTATAACAGTATATGTGTTGGGGTAGTAAGGGTGTCACATGTTACTTGTGTGCTTTGTGCTTAGTAAGTAACTTAGCATTTTATCACTATCTAGTTGATGATTGATGACTTAGATTAATGTTAAGATTGATTTGTAAAAAAAAATGGTATGAAAAATCGAAATATTAAGTTTTCACTTAAGATAATTGATTATTTCAAGTAATAATCGATTATTTGCTCTGTTTTTCAGTTACATGAAGAACAATTGTTGTGATAATCATTATTCATCAAAATAATTGATTATTTCAAAAATAGGTCTCTAGAATAATCAATTATTGCTCAAAATAATTGATTAAAATGTTCTTGGTTGATTTCCAAAATTACTAAGAACAAAATAATCGATTATCCATGAAAATAATCGATTATTTCAGTCAGAAAACTTATATATATCATTTTCCACACCTTGGACAGAGAACTCTTAGAACTTGAATCTCTGTGATATCATTTTACAAAAAACACTCTCTGTAACACATTTCTCTCTACAAGAAGAGGTTCTTTGACTTTTGTGGTAACCTTAAGAAAGTTTTCAAGAATTGTCTTGATCATCATCTTCATAGAATGAAAGGCTAAGTTTCATGGTTGATTCACCTTCTCTGGTCTATTCTATGAATCAAGTGATTCGTTCCATTAATTCTCTATTTTTGTAGTTATCTTAAGTAGGTTTCTTAAAAGGAGAGAATCTTTTAGTGGGGTGTTACAAGTAGATACTTCTTGGGGTTCAAGAAATAGGTTCTTTAATAATGTAGTAGTCTATTGCATGTGATATTGTGATTGTAAAACTTTTGACTTTAAAGATTAGTGAAAAATATCAATCAGGTTGATTGGGAACTAGATGTAGGTCACAAGTTGATGTGGCTGAACTAGTATAAAATTGGTTGTACATTCTTCTCTCTTCCTACACTTGAATTCATATTCTTTGTGACACTCTCTACCTTGCATACCATAAAAACATAATTAATAAAATTTGAGTAACTTAATCTTTCATTATTAAAATACCAAACATGTTCAGATAGAGAGCACCACATCCATAACTTAAACAAATAACATAATCAAAAGACATTACAAAAGAGATAAAGCTAAGGTTTTTAAAATAATTTAATAGAAATAACATCCTAATCTAATCCTATTTGCGTCCCGATTCACATGTCCTATTAGAGCAAAACCTAACACTAAAGCTTAAGCTTCATCACCAACATCCTTAGCCTCGTGCTGATGATCACCTGTATAACAACCAAAGGAAAACAACACAAAAGAAAAGGGAGTGAGAAACATCTCACTCTGGCTCACGGTGTTGGAATACACATCGGATAGTCAAACACAAACAAGACATGTATATATACATAGCATAGATAGATTAACAATAATATCACATTCCACTCATCCAAGACATAAAAATCAATTTAACATATAACATTAAAATGA